CCCCCCCCGCAGCATTGGAGAGCCAGCACTGGTGCTCCAGCCCCCCTCCCTCTGACCCCCCCACCATGGTGCTGGAGCACAGAAAATCTACTAGGCTGGGCCCCCCTAGTGTCTGGTGTGCAAAAGGAATGTGGGGGGGTGTCTTTCTCATTTTTAGTGGGGGGGCATCAGTGAGGGTTTGGGGGTTGTTTTTTGTTTTTGTTTGTTTCTTTTCTTGTATGCAGCTCCTGACTGATTTTTCTGTGGTTCAGTGGTCCCTGACCCAAAAAAGGTTCCTCATCCCTGGATTAGAGTAATATGAATGTGAAAAAGTATAGTCTAAACATTTCATAAACATGACAAACTTTTATCTGAAGCTTACTGGATGGAATTTTACCAAACTTTCCCAGTAAAATATATTTGGATTAATAACTACCATAAGAAATGTCAACCAAAATGCTGACTTTTGCCAAGTTATAACCAACCAAAATAAGGGTGTAGAAACAAAATGATTCAACTACAATATCACTATAACAACGATATAATATGCATTCTTATATCTACAAAACACCAATATAGATAAATACCACCCGATAACTAATATTTTGATTGATGACCTTGTAAGTGTTAAAGTAATATAGTCCTAAAACATACAGTGCTGATGTAATAAGTTATATAAGAACTTTATATTTTGTTAAACTGTTATTTAAATGCTGTTTTAAGATTAACAGTATATAATAAGTAATAAGGTTTTTTGCTGGCATGTATATCTCCTCCCTTTAACATCTGCATTTCCACATCCAGCCCACTTAATTAGCCTCATTAACATGGGTCCTACAACTGACAAGTACTTCTGCTGCTGCTGTGTATAATCATGTGGGTAAAATTTACTTTGGTTAGTCTCTAAAGTGCCACAGGACTACCAATGTATTTGTGAGTCAGCTAAGAACTAATGCAGGTAACTGACTCTCATCTGATATCCTCAGTGTAAAGATCTTATAATATATAAATGCTGTTTTAGAAAAATAAAATGACAATCTTTGAATAAAAATGAAACAGTTTAAAACACTTTTAGACATTATGCTTGTCCTGCATACCTGACTGTTCTTAGCCATTCTCTGTGTAATCAAACACTTCTTACTCAAGTAAAATTTCCACTGAAGTCAATGATAATTTTTCTTAAAGGGACGCTATCAATTTAAAATATAGATAATTTTTTAAAATGACTTAAAAGTATAATCTGCTCCTGAGTATCCTTGTCTATTTTTGTGATTTTAAAATTATGTTTTCCTGTATTTAAAACTATGTATATCTCCCCTGTTGCTATGTTAAAGACCTACACTAATGACAGGGGAAACAGTCAAACTATCCGTCTACAAACCCTATGCTGCCAAACGCATAAAGTAAAAAAAAATCTCTAATTTCTTTCAGCTTTACTAGTCTTAGCTATTATTCATAAGAATAATGGGTAAATTATATATATATATATTTCATGCTAAATATAATAATTAAAATTAACACAATTTTTACATAATTTGAGACTGCTGCTTCACTCATCTGCTGACATATGTTGATATCATTTTTTGTTTGCAGGTGGATGACAGGTCTTTCAGCAGACTGGACTTCTTCTGGGAAGCAGCAGTAAAACAACAATTTTCATTGGGAGTTACCAGAACTATTTACAGTTATCAAGGTAATTAAATGATAGAATATTATCTCTAAAAGCTTTTAAAATGTTCATATTGGTATCTATCTGTACAGTGATAGCTGGATAGAAGATACCTAAAGGTTATGATCCTGCTGTTGAAGCCAATGAGAGTTTTTTCTGACTAAGAATGTAGGGTTAGTTTTTATAGGATTAGAATGAATCCCTGTAGTGATAGGCTTAATTCAATTCTTTAATGTCACTCTAACATACATTTTTGTGTGTCTTAATTTGAAAATATAAATGGGACAAAAGTCTGTATATGACTGTTCACATTTGCACAGCCTGTAATGTAAATGGGTAAGAAAAAAAGCATTTAGTTCTCATTTTCCTTGTACTATGGGCTATCTTGTCAATCTATTATGTAAACAAGAGTTTGTGTACTTGTGGCCCAGTCACCTCTCTAATAAGGGGTAGGGAGGATGCCCAGAGACTGCAGGATCAAGCATTTAATATATATTGTATTGTATACATACTAGACTAGGTTTCAAGATAATATATTCATGCTATTAAAAAAGAAAAAATATAAATCTGCTATGCATTTTGAAGCAATATTTCTGTTTTGGCTGCAAAGTGAAAGTCACAGAGTTATGATCTTTAGAGACTGAGCAGACAGGAATCCCGGTCAGTTTCCTTTTGCAGTAGTGAAAGACCACAGAAAGAAGGGGAGAAAAACTAAGGCTATCTGTGCAGCTGTGTCATACAATAATAGTACATGTGACTGCTTTACACACATATGAAAGTGACAATATAAAATGGAGGAGAGATGAGATAACATAAAATGGAGGATAGGTCAGAAATATGAACAGAGTTACAGAGGAAAAGAAATCACAGCTATAAAATAAAAGATATCTGCTGAAAGATGTTGAAATACACATACATTGCACATAAGCGTATTGTAGACATTCATGCTCACAAGTTTTCTTGACATTTGCAGCATATTGAAAAATAAATTATAATTAACAATTTATTTCCTTAAATGCATAAATGCCTGAAATTCATGAAAAGATTATACATTAGTTTAGTTTATCTTCATTGCAAAAATCATAATTTTAATTAATCTACTCACTATCTCATTCTGACCTTTTATCTTTTGAGATAGAAGGTCAAGTTGATTCACAAATTTGTCAGATAAATTTAAGCATTATTTTGATGTTCATGCACAATGTGGATATTGTGTATATATACAGTATATATCATTTGTGTATATATGTATATTTATGTATAAATATGTATACATATATATATACACACACACACATTACAAATTCTATTAATTATATTTTCCAAAAAAACCTAAACTGAATATTAAAAACAGTACAAAATAAATATATTAAGATGATACCAATAATTAGTCATACTAACTGCCACAACCCATTGTCTGTTTTTTCAGTTGTTCAGAATTCATTAAAACTAACATTGCGATAATATTCAAAATTGAATGACA